CAGATCAAAATTGGCAGGTATGATGTGGTGGGCATCACAGAGACGTGGCTGCAAGGGGATCAGGACTGGGAGCTAGATATCCAAGGGTATGTATCCTATCAAAAAGACAGGTCAGGGGCAGAGGGGGTGGGATTGCCTTACTAGTAAGAAATGAAATTAAATCAATTACAAGAAACAATGTAGGGTCAGATGATGTAGAATCTGTGTGGGTGGTGTTGAGGAACAGCATAGGTTTAAAAAACCACAATGCGAGTTACATACAGGCCTCTAAACAGTAGTCAGGTTGTGGGACACAAGATAAACCAGGAGATAGAAAAAGCATGTAAGAAAGGCAAGGTTACAGTGATCCTGGAAGATTTCAATATGCAGGTGGACTGGGAAAATCAGGTTGGTAGTGGATTGCAAGAAAAGGAATTTGTGGAATATCTACGAGATAGCTTTTTGGAGCAGCTGGTGGTGAAGCCCATTAGGGAACAAGCAATTCTGGATTTAGTGATGTGCAATGAGGCAGACTCGATAAGGGAGCTTAGATGAAGGAAACCTTAGGAGGCAGTGACATAATAGAATACTTAGAAGTGCATGGTAAAATAGGGAAAAGTCATCATGGTTTCATCAAGGGGAGATCATGCCTGACAAATCTGAGAGAAGTCTTTGATGAGCAGGTTAGACAAAGGAAAGCTAATGGATGTTATCTACTTGGACTTCCAGAATGAACTTTGACAAGGTGCCGCACAGGAGGCTGCTGAGTAAGATAAGGGCTCATGGTGTTAGAGGCAAGGCACTAGCATGGATAGAAGCTTGGCTATCTGGCAGAAAGCGGAGAGTGGGGATAAAAGGGTCCTTCTCAGGATCGCAGCCAGTGACAAGTGGTGTTCCATAAGGGTCAGTGTTGGGACCACAACCTTTCATTTTAAACATTAATGATCTAGATGAAGGAACTAAGGGCATTCTGGCCAAGTTTGCAGATGATACAAAGATAGGTGGAGGGACAGGTAGTATTATGGTGGTGGGGAGGCTGCAGAAGGATTTAGATAGGTTAGGAGAGTGGGTAAAAAAGTGGCAGATGGAATTCAACGTGGGAAAGCGTGAGGTCGTACACCTTGGTAGGAATAACAGAGGCATAGACTATTTTCTAAATAGGGAGAAAATCCAGAAATTTGAAGTGCAAAGGGACTTGGGAGCCCTAGTCCAGGATTCTTTCAAGGTAAACTTGCAGGTTGAGTCAGTAGTTAGGAAGGCAAATACAATGTTGGCATTTATTTCAAGAGGACTAGAATATAAAAGCAGACATGTACTGCTGAGGCTTTATAGGGCTCTGGTCAGACCACATTTAGAGTATTATGAACAATTTTGGGCCTCATACCTCAGGAAGGATGTACTGGCCCTGGAGCAGGTCCAGAGGAGGTTCACAGGAGTGAAAGGCTTATCATATGGGAAACGTTTGAGGAATCTAGGTCTATACATGATGGAATTTAGGAAGAGGGGGGATCTAATTGAAACTTACAGAATACTAAACAGTCTGGACAGAGTGGATGTTGGGAAGATGTTTCATTAGCAGGAAAGACTGGGAACCGAGGGCACAGCCTTAGGGTAAAGGGAAGACCCTTCAGAACAGAGATGAGGAGAAACTTCTTCAGCTAGAGAGTTATGAATCGATGGAATTCACTGCCACAGAAGGTTGTGGAGGCCACGTCATTGACTATATTGAAGACAAGATAAATAGGTTCTTGATTATCAAGGGGATCAAGGGTTACGGGGAGAAAGCGGGAGAATGGAGTTGAGAAACTTATCAACCAAGATTGAATGGCGGGGCAGACTCGATGGACCAAATGGCCTAACTTCTGCTCCTATGTCTTATGGTCATTACCAGCAAAGTCACCAGTTATTGCCCAAACTTGCAGAAGGAGACGGTGGGCTACCTTCTTAATGTGCTGCAGTTTTTCTGGTGTAAGTACACTCACACTGTTAGGAAGCGAGTTCCAGACTTTTGACACAGCAAAAGTGAAAGAACGGCAATAAAGTTCTAGTTTAGAATGGTGAGTGAATTCTAAGGGCTCTAGATACAGAGAATAGGAAAACACTATTCCCCTTGGTTCAGAGGTCCATGACTAAGGGTCACAGATTTCGGGTAAGAGGTTGAAGGTTTACAGATGATTCAAGAAGAATTTCTTTTCACTGAGAGCTTGCTGGGGATCTGGAACTCACTGCTGATAAGGTCGGCCTCTACCACTCCTTTGTAACATTTAAAAAGTAATTAAGCTGCTGCAATCAACCAAAAGCTGGAAACTGAGATTTGGCTGGATGGATACACCGTGGTTGGCATGGGCTCAGTGGACAAAATGGCCTTCCTCTATGATGTAACTGACAATGATTATATGATTCAACTTACTGAAAGGATCATGATGCAACATAATACATTAAAGTAATCTGGAATCATATTTGAGAAATACATATACAAAACAATTTTCACCCCTCATTTTAATTACAGAAACATGGATTTATATTAGCTTTGACAAAAGTACCATTCAATTGTTGAGCATTGTTTTTATTTAAATGATTTGATCAGAAAGTATTAAGTGTAAGTATCCATTGACAAAGCAATTTTAAATGGAATTGTAACAATTGTAGTATTCTTCATCTTTTAATGTTGTATATACGAAAGGAATTTGTCTGTCTCACTCTTTGTTAGATATCACACCATAACATACCAACTGAGATCTAAAAGCTCACATTTATCAAAAATTGGAGGCTTTCCCCTTCATCGTTTCTCAAAGCAAAGCCTAAGTAATACAAAGCAGTGCTGTAAGATCATAACATGCTTTTTATGAAAGGACAGTCAATGGTAAGACAATCATTACAACTCTTGTAAACAAAAATATCTTGAATCTTCAGTAAGATTATCAACACAACACAATAACGTGACATTTTTGATTGAAATAACGTAGACATTCATACAATTTAAATACTTTAGTTTTTGAAAACATTTGGTTAATGGTACTTTTATTTTAAAGTTTAGATAATTTGTCCTACAATTTATTTGTGTCACACTCCAGTTGCTGTATTTCGAACTGTCAACTTTTACATTAAAGAAACATTTATTCTTATTGTTTTCTGACCCAAACCCAGATATTTACAAGCAACTGCCAACTCATATCTCCATCACTCAAAATTAATCTCGAATTGACTACAACATTTATAGTATTGTAATTAGGTTCTGGAGCTTAAAAAAGGATAGGTTAGTTTGATACTGCTCCAATTTAGCAGCAATAATTCAGAGATGTGCCTTTTGCACAGAAATCAATCCCAGAACACTCCACAGAGAAGAAACAGTTGCTGTAGAAAACCAATTGCGTAAAAACAGACATCTGAGTGCTCAGTTGAAAAGGTATATTTTACAGCTGAAGACAGAAGTAACATGGCAAAAATGATTGGAATAAGAACTCTAGAAGGTAGAGCAGAGTTGTAGATAACGCTAAGAACGGAGGAACAGGTGCTCAGAATGTGGCAAACAGAGGTGCTCGGGAAGTTTATAAGAGATTGGAAGAGGTTACAGACATGAGAGAGATGAGTCATGAAGGGATCTGCAAATGTGGACAAGGATTTTGAATTTAGTGATTCTATTTGACGTCATGGAACCCATGGAAGTGCATAAGGATGAGATGATGAGTGAGCTGTCATTACTATTGGGATGATACACAGGCAGCAGTTTCAACTGAACTGGGCTTTGTGTTTGGCAAAACCTGGCAGGGGTGTGCAGCATAATTCATTGCCTGTTACTACATAATGCCTCTGTTCAAACAGTGCATAATATGGCTTTCCACGTAGAACTTGCAGGAAATCCAATTACATTTTGTGTGGCAACATATCTGTAGAACATAAGGTACACTAACGCTTTCTTGTAAATGTGGGATTCAGGCCCAGCTAAAAATTTCACTCACACTCACTCAATAACTGTTTCACTCACCTCTTCCTTTCTGCTGCACTACAACATTTCTGCTGGCATTTTGTTCGGATTTTCCATAATTCTAATGTTGTGAAGTCTCTGTGACCCACAGCACCAGTTTATCATGTTCACACATAAACATTAACTCAACAATGGTCAGTGTTATTCAAATATACATGAACTCAAGCCTGAGGCAGTAAATATGATTTAACCATGAAAAAAAAACAAATGAAAACAAAAAAAAACTTAATCAGAGACGAAGCAGCAATAAAAATGGCTGACAAAAATAGAAAGAGGAAAGAATGAAATAAAAATCGTGCTAGGAAGAGAGGAAATTAATAAATAAATTTGATTATGAGGAAAGAGGAGACATGTAAAAATGTGCTGGGTACAGAAAAAGTCAGCAAGGGAACAAAGGCACAAAGTGAGAAAGTGGTAAAGGAAAGAAGAAAAAATTATTAGTGGGGACCAGAGATTCCAGTGAACAAGGTTAAAAAATCAAGACAGTCTGTGGATGGTTAAAAATCTATTCACAGCAGCCCCTTATAAATTAACCCTGAAACATAGTATCCAGTTCCCACATAACTGACAAAGGAGAAATTGCAAAGCAAATTATTTCAGGTCAGCCTGGACTGAAATAAAAGCCTTCGGAGCAGAGATCTGAGAGTCAATATCTGCCTTGTTTTTTCCAGGTCCTGTGAAAGAGAAAGGGGAGGCGGATTTAGCCCCTTTCCATTGTTTCTGGAGAGGGAAACAGAGGGAGAGAGTATGGGATCATTCTCGTTGCAGGCTTTAGGACCCAGTGAAGAGTTGCATTCTGCGCACTGTATCAATCTTCACCACGATTTTGTTTTTGTGAAAGCCGAGAGTTTCAGTGAAATTGTGTGTTGTTTCCAAACGGGGTGATTTAGCGAATTGCATCACCGGGTATAGCTTAGTAAGTGGGCGCGATTTTCTCGCTTCTGTTTTACACCCAATACTCCCAAAAAAGGACAAAAAAAACTAATTAAACTTCTCTTTCCCCCAGCGGAGTAGCAGAGCCTTCCCTTTCCTTTACCTGTACTCAGATTGTCGTTGATTTTCAGAGGAACCCGCAGGATGTAAACCAGGAAAAGCATCAGAAAAAACCACAGCGTCCACAAGTACGTCCAGGACCAGACGATACAGGATTTGAGCTGCTCTAAGAGACTGCTGCCCACTTCAGCCATTTCCAGCTGCTACTGTCAGCTCAAACTCAACTCCAGACCACAGTGTATTCTGGGATCAATCCTGCCTCATGACTCAAATCATGCAACAGCAACACTGTCATCACAGCATGTAGACTGTGAGAGCTGGAGTGCAGCTAGAACAGTGTAACAACCCACAAGCAGCTGTAAGATACAAAGAGTGCGAGTGACCAGGAAGAAGTGTAACTGCGCCTATAGGCAGCAATAAGGTGCAGAGAGAGATCAGAAAGGGAGTGCAACTGCACCTATAGCCAAAGGTGCAGGGAAACAGTGCAACTGTACGCATTGTCTGTTATAGAATCTAGGGAATTCTGGAAGATCAAAAACCATGTAATCCATTACGTTTGATGAAATGTGTTTGTACGCAGTGTACTGGCTGGCTTATTAGTCATGTCACTTGCTTCTGTAAGTGGATTCAAATAGTTGTAGAAGTAGACCATTTTGGCTGCTCAAGCCCGTTCCATCAGTCAATAAAATCAAGGCTGCTCTGTGTTTCAAATTACACATTGCCATCTACCTCTGATAACTTCTGAGCTCCTTGCCTAACATTAATCTATCCACTTCTTTCTTAAAAATATTTAATAACTCTGCCTTCTGAGGAGTTCCAAAGTCATACAATCCTTAGAGAGAACCTTGTCCTAATTTTAAAGCATTACCCTCTAGTTCTAGATTGTTCCACAGGTAGAAACATCCTTTCCACATCCACCTTGTCAAAATCATTCAGGATCTTATACTCTTCAATCAAGTCATCCCTTGCTCTTCTAAACTCCAATGACAGCAAGCCCAGACTATCCAATCTATCCTCATACAGAACCATTCACTTTAGTTATCAATTTAGAAAACCTCTTCTGAACCATCTCCAAAGCTTTTACATCCTTCATAAATAAAGAGACCAAAACTACACACAATATTCAAGATGTGCCATGAGGGTATGGTGAAGCTGGTAGGTGTCCAATGTTATCCTCCATGGATGGGGCTGTGAGCTGTCGCTGGATCCTGAGCGTGCCCTGAGATATTGGTGACTGCTATCCTAGATGGAGGCCTAGAGGTGCAAGCAACAAGATGCAGTTGCCAGGTACATGCTGTGACTCTCACACTGAGAATTATCACTGTCTAGTTTCTATACAGCACCTGGAAAAGTAAGAAACTGAATATCAATGAGGCAAAATTAGATAACAATACATGCAAACAAATGTCTCGCCATTGAATAGCAAGATTCTGATCCCAAGTTCAACACTTGGTTGCAGAATTAGGCTATATTTTCTCAATATTAAGAAGGGTGGCTCAGTGGTCAGTGCTGCTGCCTCACAGTGATTGGGACCTGGGTTCAATTCCAGCCTTAGGCAACTGTCTGTGTGGAATTTACATATTCTTCCTGTGTTTGTGTGGGTTTCCTCTGGGTGCTTCAGTTTCCTCCTACAGACCAAAGATGTGCAGGTTAGGGTGAGTTGGCCGTGCTAAATTGCACATGGTATCCAGGGATGTGCAGGCTAAGTGGATTAGCCATGAGAAATGAAGGGTTACAGGAATAGTGTTGGGGACTAGGTCTGGGTGGGTGCTCTTCAGAGTGTTGGTGTGGACTTGATGGGCCAAATGGCCTGCTTCTACTCTCTAGGGGTTCTACAAAGCTTGTTTCTTCTGATCTTGCAATATTTTTCTGTCTGACTTCTTAACACCCACATCTTCTGGTAAGATTCTGCTCATTGAATTGAAAGTCAAGCATCTTACATAGATCATGTATTCACCATGGGAACAAAACTTCCTGGAGAAGGAACATCGCCCCAGGAATGAGCAGATTCCAGACAACCAAACAAAAAGTGTGACCTAATTAGAAAACTCCACAATTTAAAGATGCAGAAACTAAAGAAAGTAGGACGAGTTAGAATTAACACATTGTTTGGTTAATTAATGATTTTTTTTGTTGAGCATGAATATTGAATAACTTGTAATTGTAAACAATAGTACATATCAACTACTTTTTAATGAGAAGTGGGATTTCTTTAAAGAAGTATTTGTACTGGTTGACATGTCATAGTAATGTGATCTCTACTGCTCCTGTAAGTGCTTTCACTTTAGTTTATAGCAGCCATTAAACACATCACAAGAGATAAACCATATGCAACCATTTCTTTTAAAACTCAGGGCATTTGTCGGTTTTTAGTCCCATTAATTTATCCAGCTCCTTCTATTTACTAATACTAATTTTTAACATCCTTACTCCATTAGAATCCTTGTTCGCCTGAATTTCCAATACATTATTTTGTCTTCTACTGTGAAGGCTGACATAATATATTTAATATCTAGACTATTTCTTTATTCACCATTATAATAACACCAGTCCCTGTCTCTAAGGAGTCCACATTTAGTTCTTTTTTTCATTTTTACATACTTATTTCAGTTGCTGCAATTACTTTATATATTTCTTGCTGGTTTACTCACTTTTTTCTTGTTTTTATTAATTTCTTGGTCGCCTTTTGCTGACTGTTTTTCTTTAAAATCTCCTAATCCTCAGCCTTACTGCACTCTTGGGCAACACTTAGCCAGTTTTCAAATTCTAATGCCATTCTTAATTTCCTGAGCTAACCATGTTTCTACCACTCTTCACTCAAGAGAATACATATGCAATGAACATTATGAATTACTTATTTAAATGTTTGAAATTGCTAGTTTACCATTATATCCTTTAATCAAATTTTCCAGTTTGCCTCAACCAAATCACTGTCATACTTAGAGTCATAGAGACATATAGCGCAGAAACAGACCCTTCGGTCAACCAGTCCATGCCGAGAGTAATTCCAAATCAAACTAGTCCCACCTGTCTGCTTCTGGTCCATATCCCTCCAAACCTTTCCTATTCATTTACTTATCTAATTGTCTTTTAAATGTTGTAATTGTGCCCACATCCACCACCTCCTCAGGAAGTTCATTCCACTGTAAACCATCCTCTGTGTAGAAATTGTTTGGTTAATTTGAAGATCCTACTTATGGAATTAACCATGTTGCTCTCAAGTTGAATATGAAACTTATACATGGTAATAATACTGTTGTTCCCTGTCCAGACTGCTTTGATTGACAGCTGGAAGGGGTTGATGGATTTTTTTTAATGTGAGGTACTTGGCGCATGTGGAGGCACATGGGATGTACAGAAAACTGGACCACTTGATGAAGATGCAGTTTCCAACAATTGGCGGCTGTAATGTGAACAAACCCAACCAAATGTAAAGAGGCTCCAACATCAGATGTAAACTGCTGGAAAAGCTCAGCAGGTCTGGCAGCATCTGTGAACAAAAATCAAAATTAACGTTTCGGGCCCAGTGACCCTTCCTCAGAACTGATGCTGCCAAACCTGTTGAGCTTTTCCAGCAACTTCTGTTTTTGTTTCTGATTTACAGCGTTCACAATTTTTTTTTTGTTTTTAATCATGCGAAAGCTGCCTGGAGAGATTGTTTCCATGAGGAATGGAACAGGACTGATGAGATGATGGGGATGAAAAGAGTGGAAATGTAATGGCATGAGTGATATGGAAGAAATAAAATGAGCAGCACATAGGACAGAGCAGATAGCATGAGAGGGGTGGATGATTTTATAGAACTGGTTAAGGCTGCCAAAATGGCCAAAACAATTATTTGATGCAACTTATTATTCAAAATATATTTTGTGTTAAACATTAAGAATCACTAGATTTGAATGAAGTTGTTTTAAAATGTAAAGTCACCATTGTATTATCAGACCATAGGGTTGCTATTCCATTAGAGACAGACAACTGATGGTGGTTTAATCTAAGGATCACCACACCTCAGGTGAGAACAGAAACTGAGAAGGAGAATCCTTTTATGGTAACATCAGGAATTGAACACATGCTTAATATCATTCTGCATTACAAACCACCCGTCCAGCTAAACCAAATCCCACACTATCAAGTGAATGAAACGAACAGGTCAACATTAATTTTCTGGGTGAAGAAGATAACAATCCACACCCACCAGCGTTTCCACACAATCCAACTCCAATAGGCATAGCACCATACAAACCTAGACTCAAGCAAAGAACTTATCAAGTTGCTGCAAAATGTGAATCCTAAACAAGGACTTTGTCATGACAAAGATTGATAGTTCGGAAACTGCAATTTATAACAGGAAGATTTCCATGAAAAAGTGTGTTTACTCCTAATTCAGGAGGCAAGAGTTTCTAAATAAATTTTCATAGGTGTATGACTGTAAACAAATCATATGGCTGGACTTCTGATAAAGTTTTTATTGATGTTTAGAGGCCAGTTTTTATGCAAAGTATTTTGTGTAACTTTTCCGGAGTGAGAAGTTTTGATTCTTTGAAAGTCCATGATAATAGAAAAACTAGAAACTACTAACTAGAAATAACTATTTAAAGAAGTACTCAATTGTCACAATAAAGATACTAATTTGATATCATATATTTTGCAGTCTTTGCTAATTCATCATATGATAGTCACAGTTCCCCAGACAATCCTTTACTGCAAAGTTATTTATTATCACTTGTTTCATTATACAATACTAGATCTGAAATAGGTAGTTTTCTAATTGGTTGTTTGGCATATTGTTCTAGACACTCAGATGCATTCCATGGATTCATCCTCCAAGCAATTTTTTTGTCAATTTAGTTTACCCAGTGGTACAATCAAGTGAGGAGGAATAATTCAGCTACCCCTTTTTAACGCACCCCCCATATTGGCCACCACATGTATCTTTACTTCTTTTCAGTACACAGCTATCAATATGCAAAGTGAAGTTAACTAGGTCAAAATGAAGGAGCAATATTTTATTAAGTGAAAGAAAGAGTGATGTTCGTCCCCATTAATCCCAAGAAAAAGAATAAAACATGATGTCAAACACACACAAACACAGGTACTAAATTGGAAAAGGGGAGTGTCTGGTACAGACAGGAAAGGTAAAAGTTATACAGTTTAAAAGTCCTTGGTTTGGTAGGTGTGTTAGATTTTTACCCTGAAACCACAGTTGTTTAATTCTCGATTGGCATCCTTAGCAGTGGTCAAGTTGTAGATATTTTCAATTTCTTGGTTTTGTCAATTTGCTTTTTCATCAAGTGCCATCTTTGGAGTGACTGACAGAAACAAGGGCAGAGAGAGAAAAAGAAATAGAAATAGAGAGAGAGCGGGAGAAAGTGAACGAAAATTGTAGTTCTTATTGTCACAAATTAATGTTTCTCGCTTTCTTTTCCACTACTCAAAAGTAGCAATTGAAATAGGATTCATTTGTAGGTTCCCGAGTCTGACCAAATTGTCTCTGGATACTCCACAGGCAACATTTCATTTCCATTTTATAAAATTATCATAAAACTGTGAATTAAAAAAAGGAAGTATGAATTTGAGGCTGATACAATTGTCTGGTTTTTGTCTGTCTTTAGATAAAGTAATAATTTCAGTGGAGATATTTTCACATGATTCCTGGACTTGCCTCAAAATGTGGTCAGGTGATCATGACAACTATTTTATGTTATTTTTGCCTACTTAAAACCATTTTATTCATTGTTGTGCATA